CCCCCAGTGTGTGTATTCTACTTTCTGCTACAGTTAGATGACAGAAGAAAAGGGAATTCAAGGATCCCTGAAATAGTAGTTCATCAGGAGTCAAACCTTTTAGAAGATTAAGTAGTTTGGACTGAGTGGGTCATCTTGACTTGTAAAAAGGTACCTGAGTTTTCAAGTCAATGAAAAATTATGTCTCCACATTTCCTGCTTTCTATTGTGCAAAATACAATGAATCTGCTTCTCAAACAGTAAAAGGGAAATCAAACACTTGTGTTTGAATTTACTAGACTTCAAATTAATGTGTTTTCTAGCCACTATTTTGTTAATTCTGCTAACTAGAATTTGCCTTTAACCAGGGCCTTTCATGAATTGGGAATGTGTGTTCCACGTGATTCTTTTATGTAGGGATTATATCAGTGTTGATTTAACGTGGTTAATTAAAACTAAAACTGTTGCTCTAAGCACCGGTGTGTTATCTAAGCACTGAGGGCCTATGACTTGGATTTATTCTAGTAATTCCAATGTTTGTCCAAGTCATTTGAAAATGTGCCTTTGGTATTTAAGATTGTTTGGATGAGTGAGGGAAAATGAAGAATTCCTTTCTAATAGGCACAAATGACTTATTTTCAGCTCTTCGAATGAACTAAACGCTTACTATGAACCCAGTGTAAATTTGTGCCTTCAATAGGTTGAGCCTCCTCTATATCTAAATCATGTTGGCATTTGTCATGTCCCACACTGTGCTTTTGTATAGACTACTTTTTTCCAAAACTTAACCCCTTATGTGTGAAAAGTTGGCATAGAAGAGGCCAACCATAGGCATCTTGGATTCTTGAAGGTGTTTGTTGTATTTATTAAAGTTCTTGCAACTGTAGCCAGTAATCAACATAGTATCACAAGGATAGCTATGTGTTTGAAATAGCAATTCTGTGAAACTGCAAAAAATATTTTTGGTTGACAAACAGAGAATGGGACCAGATGAGATGGCTTTTCATTATTCTGAGAGTTTTGGGTTTGTTTGTTTGTTTTTAAATAAATAGTGACATCTTCTAAAGAGTACATAAGTAGAAACTTGACTAAAAGGCATTGTAGGGGGAAAAAGGTCCCTCCTCCCCACCCATCCTTGTAGAAATCAATGTTTAAGGCTTGCAGGGGAAGCTTCCAAGTGTATTTGATTTTTGGCACATGGATATGGGTGGAGGAGGAGTGGTGAGAAAGGAATTGAAGAAATTAAGGCAGCAAATGAATAGAAGGCTCATAAGGGAGAGATTTTTGAACGTGGATCATAAGATTTTAATTTTTCAATCATACATGTATAAGTTCCAAATACAAAGGGCACAAAATAAGTTTTCTTCTTTCCCTGCCCCCCAAACTAGAGATGGTATATGGTATAGGTTGAACTACTTCTTATTTATATTATACATAGAGTTTATATGCTTATATTAATATAAGAATAAATGTTTACAGTTTTAACTTTTCTATTAATGACTCTTGATGAAAATTTCACATTCATACAGAAAGAGCAGACATCATTATTTTCAACAATTGCATGCCTTTGTATGTTGTTGTACACATGTATCCAATCATTTAAACATCTTCTGATGAATACTTACAGCTTTATGAATAATTCTCCATTGACTATCTTGGTGCATACTTGCAAGTATACCTGTAGGATAAAATTCAGAGTAGACTTAATGGAAGTGGAATTGCTGTGCCAAAGGGTATGTCCACTTAAAATTAAGAATCTTGCATTGTGCTCTAGAGAGTCCATGGGCAGTGTACCGGAGTTGTCTGCTTCCCACGTGTGGGACTTATTATTTTTTTCCTTTTAATGAAGGAAAAGAGACTTATTATCTTTGCCAATTTGATAGGTGAAAATGATACATTAAGGTTTTAATTCGCCACTCCCTTAAGTAAGGTCAAATGTTAGGTGTCTATGTCCTTTGACCCTTCTCTGGTAGTGTCCTGGTATTTCTGATTAGTAGAAGCTCCTTATTCAGTAAGGAAATGAATATTTTGCTCAATGATACAAATATTTTTTTGTTTTATCTTCTAACTTCTTTATGGTATTTTACCATGTAGATACATCTATTTTTATGTATTCAAATATATCAATTTTTGAGGTTTTTAAGTTTTATGTGATTTATAAAGGATTACTCTGTTAAGTAGATATAACTGCTGTCCTTTTTCCCTAGTACTCTTAGAGTTTCATCCTTTTACACTTAAGTCTTTGATCCATCCATCTAGATCTTAGTTTGGTCTGAGATAGGAAGCCACCTTTTTCTTTTTTAAAAATCTAGATAACTATCTAAATATCTTTTTCTCCCTTTACTATTTGAAATGTCTCCTTTATTGTATACTAAATCCCTTTATGTATTTGATTTTATTTTTAGGTTTTAAAGCTTTTGTTCCGTCGATTTGCTTTTGTGCCAGTATCATGCTGTTTCAATTATTGTAAATTTGTGATATCTCTTACAGGCCACTATATATCACTTTTATTTTTCATAGCTTTTTCCTGGCTATTCCTGCCCTTCCTCCCATATGAACCTTACAAACTCTTAGTCTAAAACAGATTCTAATGGAATTTACTACAAGTTCGCAGATTTTTAAAATATATGAAAATTCTCACTTATATATACTTCCCTCTCACAAAGGAAAGGGTTATAGCTTCCAAATTCTCACTGGTCTCAGATGTCCCTCTTCCAGTTCTAGAATAGGAGTAGTCCTCACTTTAACCCTGTAGGGACCCCCCTTGGAACAACTCCTTTTAAAAAAAAAAGACTCTAGTCAAAGTAATTCCTACAGTTATTCTCCTCTGTAATGTTATTGAGGTTCTTTCTGGAGATTTTCTTAAAATTGTTACTTGAATCCCAAGTACTGATTGCATTGTGGTTTTTCCATTGCTGTTTGACTTCTCATACTTGTATCATAAACATGATCTTTGAAAGCACAACTGGTGGTACAGTGAAAAGCAAGTTGTATCTCTATAGGTAGGCCAACATGCCTGAGATCTATGCCACAAGATCATAGTCTAACTGTGTCTCAAAGCAGTCATACCTTTCTATAATCATTTGAACTTAATTATGTAGCACCCAATACAATAAACTCAAATGTACTATATGCTAATCATAAAAGAGGCCACAGAGAATTACTATTATAAGTGGATAGAGAACATGCTAAAGAGAACTCTGTTGCAAATCTGACTTGAAACCAAATGCTAGCTGCAATGAACATTAAGTATTTCATCACAGATTTTGCTTGGTGTCTAACTTAGAATGCTTGGTAGGATGGTCTAGATAGCCTAGGACTTTTTAATGCTGTTGTCCAAAGAGGTTTGAAGGGAAACTTTTATCTTCTTCTTGACAAGATGCTACAGTGAGCAGTGGAGGGTTCGTCCTCAGGCTGAGCTTCTAGAGCTTGTTTTGATCACGCAGTTGACCTCTTGCTTTCTGCCTCTCAGCCTAGCCATGAGCTCATGTTGCCTTTCTGTTGGCTTCTGTACCCTCCTGTAAATGAATTCATCTGTGGCCTTCCCATTCACCCCATCAAGGGACACCCTTTCTTCTGCCTTTATATTACATTTTATTTCTATTGCTAGAACTGTCTATGCCACACTCTACCTTGTATTGATTCCTTGTATTCTCACCCTCCTTCTTGATAGGGAGCACCCAGAAAGCCCATGTCCATCTCCGTGTGCCCAACAATGCCCTGACACTGAGTAACAACCGTGGGGAATCCCTGGCACCGGTGCAAGGCCAGAAATCCATGTTGGAACCCCCGGAGAATGCATGCCGCTGTGTATTCAAACGCAGCAGCTTCCGAACAATGAAACTGCAGAAGTCATTAGGATGGATTTTGTGTGTGTCTAGCAAGTCAGAAAGGCAGAGGGGGTGGGAAAACTTTTCACAGTGAAATCTGAGGACCGCACCTTGACCCTTTGTTTCGGTTTTTATGTCCATCCAGCCAATATTTGACCTATGTGGATCTACAGGCACCCTGACTTTTTAATATATCAGTATTTGTTTTTATATATTAGGATTTCTAGAAATCTATATTTCATTTTTTTGCAAAGTACAATGTAATTGAAAATTACTTTGGAAACTTTGTGGCTCTTGCAGGTGAAGTGTAAGAAGTGGTATTTTTCTCCTAGTACTCAGTGCTAGCTTTATTCTCCTTAGGTAGCTTCAGTGTACTATTTTTCAAAATACAGTTAAAAGATTACACTGCCCTGAGGAAGTTGGCCATGGCCTGTGAAGGGCATCTTTGCTGGGAAGAATGGTTCTACCACATAGATGACTTTTGTTGACTAGTAATCTAGTTAGACAAACAACTCCTTTGGTTCTATCTTGGATGACAGAAGTATTTGTTATAGGACAGACCTCCCCCATAAGTGAAAGGGACATGGGAGTCTTGCTAAGGGAACATGCATTATTCTAGCAAGAGTGGTTGCACTCCCACTTCTTGGTGAAGTCATAGCCCAGAGTTGAGAATCCATCTGCTCGTGGAGTGGAAGAAGTGTGTGTGTGTGTGTGTGTGTGTGTCATGTGTTGTGTATGGGGGTATTGTCACCTAGGTATCAACCAGTTCAAATTGTAGTTAGGGAGCCAAGGGCAAAAATAACTTGCAGAGAAAACAGAATGTCAGCGAGCCATAGAGGCCCATTACTGAAGAATACTGTGTTTAGGCAATTTCATTCCCTTCACACATACCAGCACACTCCAGCCCCCGCCCCCACACAGTTAAAACAAGCAAAACAACAACCTACACAAAACAAAACTATGAAGTCATCTGAGTTGGTACAGAAGTTTGTGTGTTTTTGTCCTTACTCTATGTCGGAACTTTTCTTTGCCTACATAACTCATTTAATCCTCACAGCAACACCTGAGCAGTAGGTGTTGTTTATCACCATTTTACAGGACATTGTTGAGAGAGAAATATCTCTGAGTTCCTTGAGCTGCTTTGCCATGCAGAAGAGAATCCTAACCCTGTTTCTCACCTGTCACTTTCAGTTTCCTCGGCCAGAACATCCCCCAAGATGGCAGAGGAGAGCAGCAGTGCCCGGGACTGCGTTTCCTTCAGCGTGCTCAACTGGGATCAGGTTAGCCGGCTGCACGAGGTCCTGACCGAGGTCGTACCCATCCACGGACGGGGCAACTTTCCAACCTTGGAGATAACTCTGAAGGACATCGTCCAGACCGTCCGCAGCCGGCTGGAGGAGGCAGGCATCAAAGTGCAGGATGTCCGGCTGAATGGCTCTGCGGCTGGCCACGTTCTGGTCAAAGACAACGGCCTGGGTTGCAAAGACCTGGACCTGATCTTTCACGTGGCTCTTCCAACAGAAGCAGAGTTCCAGCTGGTCAGAGATGTGGTTCTGTGTTCCCTTCTGAACTTCCTGCCAGAGGGCGTGAACAAGCTCAAAATCAGCCCGGTCACTCTGAAGGAGGCGTACGTGCAGAAGCTGGTGAAGGTCTGCACCGACACTGACCGCTGGAGCCTGATTTCCCTCTCCAACAAGAACGGGAGGAACGTGGAGCTGAAGTTTGTCGACTCCATCCGGCGTCAGTTTGAGTTCAGTGTGGACTCTTTCCAAATCATCCTGGACTCTTTGCTTTTTTTCTATGACTGCTCCAGTAACCCCATCTCTGAGCACTTCCACCCCACAGTGATCGGGGAGAGCATGTACGGGGACTTTGAGGAAGCCTTTGATCACCTGCAGAACAGACTCATCGCCACCAAGAACCCCGAAGAAATCAGAGGCGGGGGACTCCTCAAGTACAGCAACCTTCTCGTGCGGGACTTCAGGCCCACGGACCAGGAAGAAATCAAAACCCTAGAGCGATACATGTGCTCCAGGTTTTTCATCGACTTCCCGGACATCCTTGAACAGCAAAGGAAGTTGGAGACCTACCTGCAAAACCACTTTGCCGAAGAAGAGAGAAGCAAATACGACTACCTCATGATCCTTCGCAGGGTAGTGAACGAGAGCACCGTGTGCCTCATGGGACACGAACGCAGGCAGACCCTGAACCTCATCTCCCTCCTGGCCTTGCGCGTGCTAGCAGAACAAAACATCATCCCCAATGCCACCAACGTCACCTGTTACTACCAGCCAGCTCCTTATGTCAGTGATGGCAACTTCAACAACTACTACGTTGCCCATCCTCCAGTCACCTACAGCCAGCCTTACCCTACCTGGCTGCCCTGTAACTAACCTTGAGACCTGAGGGTTTCCACAGTGGGAGCCCCAGTAGAGCCAGGGCTCTTAGGTAGGGGAGCCTCCTTCTAGATGTAGGTGTTTGGCTTTTAAAGGGGAACTCAGCTCTGATTCTGCTTTTTTTTTTTTAATTTGTGTACCCATTGGAATGGGTCTACCGTAACCATGAGCCAACCCTAAAAGGACCCATAGTAAGTGCCACTTTGGAAAATGCTGTAGGAAGTGTGAACTATCCACATCTTTCCAAGATAGACACTAACGTGTCACATCCCAAGCATTCGCACGTGGGGGTTTGAGCTCTGCAATAACAGATTGGGAGAGCTTGGGCAGCATTTGAGAAGTGTTAAGCTACTTTTCTTCTCACTTGAGCCATGAGTAGGCTGTGTTGGCCCTCACTTGGGATTCTCAGCAGTTACATGGAAGTTGCGCTGATAATCTCTTGTATCAATTTTAGTCAGGCAGAAAATGGTAAACATGAGGGTGCTCTTGTGACCTAATTTTTGTTCAAGGGACTAAATTGCTTGTGTTTATTCCCTGTCAGCAGAGCTGAGAATTTCTTTCATCAATAAACCAAAGCCAATAGCTGGAGAATTGAGATCTGGTTGGAAGTGGTTTATGGTTTAGATGCTGTGTTATCTTGAGGAATTGTGAGATATTGCTGAGAAAAAAAAAATAACCTTTTCTTGAGATGTAACTTGAAAACAAAATAAAATGTGGAACATAATGTTAAAGTAGAATTGTGGTGGTGGTGGGGGAGGGGTGATTGTAAATAGGAAACATTGAATGTTTATTCTTTTTTTCTTTAAGGAATTCTTATTGAATGACACCTTTCTTTTCCCCTTCCTTCATCAACTCTTTCGTGGCTGACTTCTGTTTTGCTCTTCCTGAGACAGGATTGTGCTGGGTCTAGAGTCATTATGGGAACTGACATGAGGGTCTTCCCATGTTTTAATTGGAAACCCATTTTGGTCACATTCCAAGTATGACAAGCTGTTTTTCTGGAGTACTTTGGCTATTTTTGGTTTTTTTTGTTCTTTCTGTTTGTGTTTTTTCAAAAATAGTGATTTCCTTCTCCAGGTGTTTTTGACAGCAGATGCATTCAGGAATTTCAGTAGAACCGAGTGACCTGTGGAATTGCTTTAGAATCTAACCTGCTGTCTCTGTGCTGTGTGTGAAGGTATGGGGTTCGTGTTAAGCCTGGCCTTGTGTGCATCGGAGCTACCAAGGCACTTTGAAGTCATTCCAGTGTATTTGGAAATAATTGAGTGAATGAGAATGATTCTAGTAGATTTGATGACCATACTTGTTTATATTCTGCACTTTAGAAGGAAAACAGTGTTAATCTCTAGTCAAAAGCAAACTTAGTAAATGGAAGACTTCTAGCTACTGTTGCTTTTCTCAGTAGATTTAGATAACAGATTTTGTGTTTTGAAACTTTTTGTGGGATCTCTTAGAAAGCATCACTTTAGCGGGCATCAAGGGCAAAAACAGTCAATGTTGCCAGCCATCTTGGTTTCTGAAGTGAATTAATGAAATCCATGCTCCTGATTTTTATTTTCTCCTGTGGCCATAAAAATCCAAAGCCCTAAGTGATTGCTTTCTCCTCGCTGTAAGCAATGAAGTTATCTTAATGCAGAAATGCTTGGTAGAAAATGAGTGGTTTACCTTTTTTAAAAAATATTTTCAGATGATGTTTTGGTCCTCTTAATAAGCAGATCAGACGTGACTGAAACACGAGGTATTTGTGTTGTGCTACATGAGGTGACTAGAAGCCACTTCTTAATGTAACTAGCTCCTGTTTCCCTGTGAGCCTTAGGTATATTTGAATTCACTGGCTTTGAGTCGAGGCTGGTTCTAGTTGAGGGAACCCAGGGTGCTTCAGTGTTAAAAGGGGGGCAATGAAGAGTGAATCCCAATGAAGAGCGATCCCAATTTTGAAAACTATCTTGTTATCCATGACCTTAAAAAGCTGCCATTGTGGTCAAATGGCAACATATTTGCACAAAAATGACACATTTGTTTAACCAAAGCTTTGAACTGTGATGAAGCCACCAACATAGGCACTTGCTAACACAAATCAGTATTGCTTCTACTTAGAAGGCTTGGGGACCAGTAATGAGGTACCGGATGAAGATAGGATCTGCATCAAGTAATTAAATTTCCAGTTTGTCCTTGGAGTTCTTTCTGCTTATATTTTTTTCCTGCCTGGTAATAGTCCTCCTATGAGGATGAAGGAGGTACAGAAGTTGCTGAGAAATTCCCAGCCCCCAGTCTTTACCATTGTACGATGGCCATCTTGGTGGGGTGTCTTCACCTGACCTCTTTAGTCAGCCCAGCTCTTTTTGTCATTTGAAAGTAGACACATGTTCCGAAACTGTCAGGGTAAAAAGTTGTACTGACCAAGTTGCACGTTTAAAACACAACCCCTGTTCTAATTGTGCCTCTAAGTGCCTTTTGCCAGCCTCAGAATTAGCCTGGTAACCTTGAATTTCAGGTGTCTGGAAATTCTAGCTGAAACCTGCCTTTCATACTGCTCATACAAGCACCAGGTACCCTGAACTTGTACTTAGTCCAGTGGTTCTGATTTTTTGTGTTGAGTAACATGGAACTTGGCAGTGTCAGAGGGCACTGAAGCTCAAGTGCATATTGTAATCTAAATTTAAGCAATCTCTCGTTTGTTTCACGACTTTGAACCGTTTTCTGATGCTTTCTGCAAGTAGGCAGCCTGTTCTCCCAGCCTGCTTCTTGGAGTCAGTCTGAGTAGCAGTGAGAGGAAAATACTACCCCTTCCCCTTGTGTTGGTAGAAGAGCACACACTAGATTCCTGGCCTTGAGCTTCAGTCTGACCTTTAAATCTTCCCTTGGCAGGAAGACACTATTCCTCAATAACTTCAGTGCTGAAACTAAACTCTATATCCCTAACACCTTGAAATCAAGGTTCCTGATGAGCATATGTAGTATGCGACATGGCCCACACCAGGGAGACCTGGCAGGTGGGGTGAGTTGGGCAGGGAGGATGGTGCTTAGCTCCTGGCGTATGGTACAGATGAGGTTTGGTGTTCATGTTTGTTTTTCAGTTTGGCTTCCACTGGAGACTGAGCCACAGAGTGCTGTGTGTGAGCCTGTGTTTTGTGCTAGTGCATTAAATTGCTAAAGCCCTGAATCTGCTTATCCCTCAGCCTCACTTCTAGCACTAACCCCTTACCTTCGTGGTTGGTTAGAATTTTAACTAGTACTGCTTTGTTAACTTTGGGAAATGGTGCCACTCAAAAGCAGCTTCCTAACTTTAGGGATCACTCCTTTCTAGTTAACTCTGGTACTAGTGCCTTGTATTAGGATGCAGCTTCATTCTTAGCTCAAATGTTCTCTTCCAGAGAGTGGATTAAAGTATAGTTATCCAGTGGTGAGAAGAGAACCTGATGCTCACCAGGGCTGTTAATTTCTGGGTATCTGACTGGGGCTCTGCACTAGGGAGAGCCCTTTGGGGGGATTAAGTCGAAAGAACTTCCAGTTTCCAAGGTTAGATTCACATCCTTAATCTGGCAGAGACCAGAATTTCACAGCTGACTTTGGAACGTATTCCAGTTCAACCAGTTAAATTCAGAGGACCAAGGGAGATCTGTAGAGAAGAATTTTAAAAGATTTGGCAACTTTTCAGGATTACTTTTGGAGACCTCTGAGGATCCGGAAATTTTGAAAAGGCTTTTTTTCGTGTGTGAGTTCAAGTGCCTAAATCTTGTTTACCTATCACTTAAAAAAAAAAATAGTTGAAATGTAAGCTAAAGAAAATGCATGGAGTTTTGCCTGGGCTAGTGAGAGCTGGTGCAAATTCTCGTGTGTGTTTGTGTAGGAAGGTGAGATGACCATCCACTAAAGAGGAAGTAGTTAAATAATGTGGATCAGAAGGCATTCTTTAAAACTCAAGCTATCTGGTCTTTTTTTTTATGGATAAAAACTTAATTTTCTTAAAACAGCGATTTATTTCCAAATTAATTTAGATGAAAAGTAAGATACCCATTAGACTAAATTGGAAGCTTTTGTGTTCTATATTTGCATAGCCTTTGAAATACTTTTTAGCAGTGCCTAGGATGTGTGGGTTTTCCTCTTTGGTAATGGTCACTAACCTTCTTACTTGATGCAGATAAAAATCACTTGTCAATGCAAAATGTGTTAGAACTTGGTAAATTAAAGCTTTGAGTTTGAGAAATAAAGGTATATTTAAAACTAAAAGCTCGTCAGTTATGGTCATTGCTTTGTTTTCCTAATGGCAAACGTATTTAGGTTTTAGGAAACATATTGACTGGAGTTGGGCAGTTATCACCATTATCAGCCCTGGATTCTTCTCTGAAAGATGGTGCTTTCTCTGGGGAGAGGGGTGGAGATCATAAATCCCTTAATATTTGTAATCTTTTTCTAAGTGCCCGAGTAATTCAGATGAGCTATTTTTGTTGACCAAAGCTAATACCCACAGGAGGTGTAGTCTTGAAATCTGCCTTTGCTGTCACTCTGTTCAATCCAGTGCCTATGGTTCCCAGCCCATTTCAATATGAAAACCAAAATAACTTCAACCATACTCTAGATAAAACTACAACCATAGGTCCTTCATGTTTTCAAAGGAAGTATAGAAGTGAGCAAGTGATAGTTGAGGAGTTGGTGGATGTTTGAAGGGTATAGAGATACTGTAGACCTTGCATATCCTCCTTCCTGATTTACTGCGATTCACAACACCCCCCTCCACTCCCAGCCCTGCCCTCTTCCACAACCTCCCTTCTGTGCTGAATTTCTTTAACTCCTGCGGTATCCTCAATAACTGTCATCAAGAAAGTCATGTCTTTAACTGCGTAAAATCCTTCACCCCCTTGCCTTCAACCTGTCACTACTTCTCCTCAAACCTTTCAGTCCAGGGACGAGCATTCCCTGGGGTCTAGTGGGTGTGGAGTCCTTGGCGTGTTTATTCAGTAGCCTTTTCTCCTCTGACGCCCTGACTGCCAGCCCGCACCATGCATGTTGCCTCTCCAGCCTGCCTTCCTCCTGTCCCAGCAACATCCATGCCCGGGGCCTCAGTAGCCTTGCTGTTGGCTGCCTCTCCTCGCCGTGCACCTGCGTTCGTTTCCTGTGTCTGGATCTAGAACTGCTCATGAAGGTTGGGTGACTTTCTCTCCACAATCACAAGAATTGGGATCAATCAAAGAGCAGCTTTCTGATCTTGACTATGTTTGCCTATAAGCCGTCTCCGGGATCCTCTTCCTCCTCGATTTTACTATGTATACCTTCTGAACGCTTGACTCTGCCCTCTTGGTTGCCTTTAGCTCTTGCTTGGATAATTTCATTCGTCTTGTCATCTTTTCCTTGACTCATCCAAGGGCTCTTTCTAAAATGGATGTGCCTGTGCCCCTCCCATACGTTGGAACCTGCGAAAGGCCCTCCTATGCAAGAGCAGATGTCAGACCCGAAGCTGATGTTGGGGTTCCTGTACGGCTAGCGAGCCCCTGGCTACCTTCCTATCCTTGGGTCTACTATACTGAGCTGGCCTACTTCCAGTTCTAGAGCATACCGCTCCTTCCATGCACTCCACCCTGCAGCAGGTTTCTAGAAACTGAGCCAGATGTCACCCCTCCTCCCACCTTCTCTGGCTTATCCTGCTACCTCCCCCTGCCTGTCTCTATCAGTGTGCTCTCCAGGTTGCATCAGATCTTCTCCACATTGTGAGCACCTGTGTCCCAT